TTTTTTTTTTTTTTTTTTTAACCTCACTCCAGAATTTGGGCAAAATGGTGTAAAGATCTTAATGTCAAGGTGACAGACATTTCCAATGTCAAAATACTTCAATCAAGCAAGTAAAGTAGATGACATCTTAAGCCTTGGTCCTTTCATCTTGTCCCCCGTGTGGGGTGCTCTGCAGAGCAGGCTGAGGTGACCCCAGTGCATTTTTCCCAGTAGAAGTCTGTTTTCCTACATTTCTCTATATCAAGTCCCAACCACTTTGCTTGAAGGTCCCCTTGCATGCATCATGCCTAGCATCTGTCTGTCCTGCCTAGCATCTGTCTGTCCTGCCTAGCATCCTAGATGTCTATATGTGTCCCTTTCTGGCTCTCCCTTATAGACAGAGACTCATGCATTACTTTCTTCTATCCTTACACACAATTGGTTGTACAGAAAATATCAGAGCTGGGACATTAGAGAAAAATTCCAGTTGCAGCCAGTGATGACTCTGGCCTCACAGGTAAAGCTTTTAATCTACAAATTTTCTCCTCTGTTAAATGAGCGAGCCATTTCCTACTTCTCGAATTGTTATGTGGGTTAGAAGCAACATATTTAAAATACCAAGCTCTTAGCAGGTGTGCAATAAATGATAGCTATTTTTATGCAACAGAAACACCTGCCCAGGAATCGAAGGCACACGGTGCCTGCTCAGTGAGCTTCCCACACCCCACTGTTGGAAAGTAGCTGTCAAGGCCACAAGTACCTGACCAGCATGGGGCCTGCCTGCTACACACAGTCTTCCCTGTATCTCCCCTATCTTCTTCACCCTCCCCATTGCTCCTGATTCCTGAAGATGTCCTTACCAGGATGACCTGCACGGCAACACCGCTGTCTTCTGTCATCTGACTGCTCTGTGGAGAAGCCTTTCCAGAAAGAGACCATAAATGCAGGTCCAGTGACACTGCTCAGAGCTCCTTATGACCTTTGGGAAGATTCTTCTTCTCTTACTAGTTCTGAAATATTATTCTGGGAAGAATCTTTGTTATGCCATACCTGTGTCATACCAGATGGCCACTGTCCCCGTCACTGGTCAACTATGCCCTCAGAGTGAACAGTATTTCTCTTTCTTCTAAACAAATGACTTGCAGACATGGCAAGCTTTTTTTTTTTTCTTTCTTTTTGTGGTGTTAAGGATCGAATCTGGGTCCTTTACACTGAGCTACATCCCAAACCCTTCTTATTTCTTATTTTGAGACAGGAGCTTGTTAAAGGGCTCAAACTTGATCTCCTCCTGACTGAGACCACTGGGATTTCAGGTATGAGCCCCATTGCCTGGCAGTGACAACCTCTTACTGTCTGTTTCTTCTGCTCTGTAACTTGGCTCCTTGACTCATCCTAGGGATGAAGCTGGATTCACGTCAAGCCGTGGAACACAGTTCGACTGCCCAGTCTGTACATGGCATGGTGAGGGGTGATTTCCCTTCCCCCTCCTATTCCCTCTTTTTAAAAAAAATAAAACAGAACAAACAATTACTGACCATGACTTCCCGATGCGCTTTCTTTTTCTTTTCTTCTGGAATTAAGACCATGTTTGTCACAGAGTAGAGACTCAAAGAGCCAATGAAAAGTGGTGACCTTTGGCCCCATCCTTGTAAGCAACAAGCATGCTGAGTGTTGGCCTCTTTTCTCCTGCTTCTCCCTTAGCCTGAGCAAGCGTCTCCCAGGGTAGAAGGAGCAAGGCAGCCTGTGCTCGGCGCACATCATCACTTTTCTTAATCTAGCCAATTTCCAGGCTGTGTGCTGCCACACAGTGCTGCCAGGATTGCAGTTCTATCTGGCTCCTGAAGGAAGGAGGGGTAGGCACTGCTCTGACTCAGGAACATCACAAGCTCTGAAGACTCCAAATCCCACACGCAGCTGCTGTCAAATGCCCTCTGGAAGGACCCAGCTAGAGCTTCCCAGGCTGCCCAGGGCCCCGAGTCCAGGCAGGAGCCTCAGTGTCTCCAGTCAGCAACTGTCTTTCGTAATAGAATTGCTGTTATGCGTGTTCAGTGATAGAGTTTAGATCTACAGGGTCCTCCAAAGGTCTCATGGGTTCAGAGGTGCACTTCTGAAGTGACTGGATCCTGGGGACTCCGTGATCATCAGTGCATGCATCCCTGGATAAGTTCATAGCTAACTGTGCAGTGAGGAGCTGGGGCCTGGATGAAGAGCTGGGTCCCCGCAGGCAGCCGTGCCTTTGGAGAGTGTGTCTCTATTCTCTATGCTCCCTGGCTGCTGGGAGGTGAGCATCTTTCCCCCACCCTTCCTTCCACCAAGCCATTTCTTCATCGGAGTGAATGTGCTGAACCATAAGCCAAACGAAACACCTCTGCTCCTTTAAATGGCGGGTGTCAGCATTGTGTCTCAGCAATGGGAATCATGACCAATACACTCAGGAAGGACCTGATGCTGGCTCCTGAATTGCTGCACCTCGGCCCTACAAGACCTGGGTCTGATACAGCCTCATCTGAGTAAATCAGCGCTAGATGGAATCTAAACACCGTGGAGAGAGCTGAAACTCTGGTTCCCTATTCCCTGTATCTTTACAGTAACTAACTGGGGTGACACCAATATATGAATGAATTGGTCCTGTTTTGTTCCTTCATCCCAACCGTTCCTGGCTGAAAAATCCATAGGTGGTTTGAGAAGCATCGCTTTCTGCCATCAGAGATTCTCCTCAGTGTCTCCCTGTAGTTTCTACATTTGTAAGCGGCCTTTGGAACTCTACTGAACCTTTCCTGGCTCTCATTCTCCAGCTCCTACATGGCTGATAGAAGCGAGCTTCCATCATGTGCTGCAGAGCGAAGCACTCTGCGTATTGCCAAGTGCCACTCCCACCGGAAGACTGCTATAAATCTCCCCTCTGGGGACGTGCTGGGTTAATGATAACCTTCATGGCTCTGAAAGGGAAGCATTCTTTCTGCTGTCCCTGCAAGGCCTGGGGTGGAGCATGGGCCACACTAAGGTCAAGGCAGGCTGGGGCTGCTGAAACCCAACCAAGGTGACTCACTTCCCCGATAAGGCTGCAGAGAATATGCAGGCTCCTTCTTGTCCTTCCTCCAGCTCCAGCACACCTCTTAGGGTGGAAGGCTTTTGGCAACAGGGCAGAAAAGTCAGGTCGAGTCAGGAAGAACTCTGTTTGACCCTGAGCCTTTTTCCTTCAGAGTTTAGAAACATCTGGGTAGAAATGAATAAATAAATAAACTTCCTATGCTTTAGTTGCAAATGGATTTCAAGTCCCGGCTTATAGTCAATGTGACCTTGGGCGAGTTCCCCGTGTGTTGGCACCTCTTTCCTCCCCTCTGAACTTGCCACAATAATTCCTTCATCCTGAGTCTGCTTGTGGGGAAACTTCAGTGAGACCTTAGGTGTAGGGGACCATTAATCACAACGTCTACTTCTTCTCTTCCTTAAGTACAGACTATGCCAGGAAACAGTGTTGGTTTGCTTACTTCTATTTTCTTATTGTAATGAATGCTTTATTTACACAGGACAAAAAGCTCAGGGTATGCAATTGTATAAGGCAGCCTGATCGAGGAGCGGCAGAAATGAAAGCTTCCCTTTTGGCACGCGGGGGCCAGGCTGCCTTATTCCTTGCCCTCTGCTCGCCCTTGTCACTTCATAACTTTAACCCTTGGGAGCTGAAAATGTCTTTCACATTCAGGATTCCAAAGTTGGAGTTGATTTTGAAACACGCCCATACTTACATGTTAATGAGTGTGGGATATATGTCCATAAAAGCATATTGATCGTTTGGGGACTAAATTATCAGACTAAGCAAAGGCTATAAAGGCTATCTCTCCTGCTGGCTTTTCATAAAATCTAAAAGATAGAGACAAGCACAGATTTTGTAATTTTTGTTCTCTTTTCAGAGTGGCTTTCTAGAGGTCAGCTGTCTCCTGGGGCAAAGTATGCAGACCCAAGATCATGTTGAAAGCCAAGGTTTTATTCTTGCTGATGGTAAGTTTCCCTCGTTACCGAAATCAGAACTACATGCAAATAGTCTGTGAGGCAAAGTTAGATCACAGAGAACCTCCTGCTAGTTATGTCTGCTTCTCCATCCTTAATTTCTCCTTGTCCACTTTCAGTTTTTACATAGGGTTAAAAACCACATACTGGGTTTTATTTGGCACAGGTAAAACGATCACCTCCAAAACTAATAAGAATTATTGGTGAAAACAAATCCTCTGATACAAGTAAAATATAAATCTGATGACCACAGCGAGACATTAAAAATTAGAAGAGCAACGCAGAAATGAGAGAAGGCAGAGAGGACCATAACAGCCATGAAAAACACCTTCCTCTTCACTAACAAAAGAATATAGATGCTGTAAGAAGGGCAGCACAACCAGCTATTTTGATTTTGGGGCAAGATAATTATATTCAAAAAAAGACAGCGTCTCCAGAAAAATCTTTTTTTTTCTCCCAGTGAAATCATTTTTAGTTCCTTCTTATAGAGACATATATTACACCATGTTAATAACCATGAAAAACAATACAAAATGCCCTCCATTTAACAAGTAGAAAAATATAACTAGTATATATGGCAATTGGGAATCTAATACTGTACAGAAGTAATTTATGGATTTTACAAATAAATTATAGCTTAAATGCCCTTTTGAAAACTCTGTCCCCGCCCCCCCAAGATAGAACCCGGAAGTTACAATTCAGGAAAGGTCCCCGGCCCCGCAGCTCGGAAGTCAGTGCCAGTCAAATGTTCTGCCCACGAGTTGGAAGAATTTCTTATTTGGCTCGTGAAAATACTCGTGCAGTTTATGCAGCAGTTTGGGGTCCACCTGCGGGTGCGCCCGGCCTTTGGACTCGTGCAAGCAGCGGTCCCGCCCACTGTCCCGGAGGCAGTAAAAGCCCTTGGTTTTGTTGAAGTAGAAGTTCGAGGCATTGATCTGGGGCGCCAGCCTGAGGAACCTCTCGACCTTCTGGATCTCGGGGAAGGGGTCCCTGATGAGGCGGTCGCCGTCCACGATGTGAATGCGGCGCAGCGGGAAGAAGCGCAGCCAGTTCTGCATGTGCACGTGGTAGAGGCTGCGGTTGAGCGCCTTGTAGTCCACGTTGAGCCGGCCGTCTCGCACTAGGAACTCCTCGATGGACGGGTAGGGCTTGTGCTTCTGCAGGTGGTTGTAGAACACCTGCGTGTAGTCGGACAGCACGCGCTCCGACGGGTCCCGCAGGATGAGCAGCAGCCGCATGGCCGGGTTCACGCTGTGCACGCGCGCGGGCACTTTGGGCGACGTGAAGTAGGCTGGCGTCTTCTCCACCGTGAGCTGGTGCGGCCGGGACGGGGGCATCTGGCTGAGGTACCAGCCCAGGCCGTGGCTGTAATGCTCCTCCCAGTCGAAGAAGTGCACCTCGTTCTCAGCGGCCGCCACGTCGGGGTGCAGGCTCAGCATCTCCAGCAGCGCGCGCGTGCCGCCCTTGCGCACCCCGATGATGATGGTCTGCGGCAGCTGCT